TAAGCTACGCCAAGTGCCTTGAGCAACAACAAAAATACGAGTTTGGAATCTGACTGAGAGACAGAATGAACACACGGTTCCAGGGAACGAATCCAAAGCAGAGACAGTATATTGACTTGAGAAGAAATAAGTGGGCTTGGGCAGGACGTATGCTGGGGCTAATAGGGGAGGCTGGTGATAACATAGCAGCAAAAATGGGCAAAAACTCAAGAAGACACCCACCAAGGAGACACGAAGCAATGAGTTTAACCAACGTGCAGGAGCAAGATGGATTATTGCATCGCAAAGAATGCTGATGGCATGCGAGGCTTTCCATCCCACAGTGGATTGATCATGGCTGTTGATGACGATCCGCACAGTTTCAGCTGATTAAAGAGCACATGCATTTTTTATGAGCACTTTCAGTGTTTCATGGAAATTTTAGACAGCAACTTGGGAGTGTCAGCAAGAATTCTATACAAGTCCTCTGAGAATCTCGGCAAGAACCTCCAATAAATCTTCATTTTATTCCATTGGACTGATCAAGAGACCATTTACAATTATGGCTACACAGAACAGCGCCGCAATCTACAATTTGCGGCTGGGCAGTTGTCGCCCCAGAACTACTGAGCTGACACATTCACAAGGCCCTGCATGCACAGCCCTAACCTCATTCACATGCCAACTGGCCCACACCAGCCCCAAAGGCAGCCACGCGGTATCTGTGACTGCCCAGCAGATGCCCAGCAATGCAGTAATTTACACGCTAAGTTTTACAGAACAGTCTGTGATGCCCCTTCCAGGATTTAATGCGACCAACGGTTCAGGGAATATAGACACAAAGACGTAAAGCTACGTACGAGAGGTCTTATAAACAAGCCCAACATTGGTGTTGTTGGTGAATTTTTTGGAAGTTTTGATGCTCCTTCCCATGCTCATTGCACATTACGTGTTCATTGCTTGAGAACCCAAGAGTTTTGCTCCACGTGTTTGAAATGCCAGCATGGCATGCCCCACAGCTGCCTGGGTGATGATGGTGGGGTCGCAGTAGAGTGGACCGTATTGCAGGGTGAAGCATTTTGAGTGGAGGTGAATTCGTGGTTTCTCACACAATTTGACGGTAGGAAGGTCATTTTGCAAGTTCACACGTAGTTCTATTGCCCGGCTGCTCGAGTACTCATTGTGAGTTTAGTCATTAGAGAGGCCTACTAAGATATGAAAGCAGAACGTGGGTTCTGTGCAAAATTGGGCCAAATTCTGAATAAAAAAATGAAATGACCAAAAAAATAAGCAGTATTGTCATTTATCCCTGAGTCTCTTCTTTTCACATGCAGAGGTATCCATGTGGATGTTTGGCCACCTCGGAGCAACCTGTCTACAACAACAACCGCCATTCGCCACTAAGTGGCAGTGACGTCACCACGACGATTGTGCCAGGCTATGTGCACCTTGAGGCCACGTGATGTGTCGAACGCCCGCCCCGTGACCTCCTGCCACAGGTCAACTGACTGAGACGACTGGCTGATGCACCACCTGTGCCCCCTACTGTGCCAGCTTGCTGTGCTTTAGCCACCTGGCACTCCGCTCGTTGTTGTGAGTGTCGCTCCTCCACCCTCCGTTGTTGTTGGAGGGCGACTGTCTTCATCTGCCCAGTAGCATCCTTCACGAGCCTCGACTGATTTGGAGTGAGACCTCTGCTGTTAAACCGGAGCCGGTCATGAGCACACTGCCAAGGTATGGGAAACTCTCCACTCTCTCCACAACTGCCCTATCACCAATTGGGAGTTGTGGGGGTGGAGTGTCCAATGGTACAATATACCCAGGCAGGTGCTTAGTTTTGGTGGGGCTGATGGTAAGGCCCTGGCTACAGTGCACACACACACACACGCGTACTGGGAGAGGATGTGACAACACGGGCTTCTGAAGCCACTCCAAAGTTTAGTAGTCAAACCTGGGAATGTGCTGATTGAAGTGGCATACAAACGGAGAGTACAGTATATTTTGTCCCTGGAGTCAGTTGATCACCAGGTCAAAACCATCAGCAACTTGTTACACTTGAGAAATTGGTTCAATCTCGGAAAAGTGACTGAAACCCGGGATTTAAATCCAGGGATATCACAGGTTACCACAAAGCTACAGCGTTCACTTCTGTGAGTCACCCAGGTACCCGTCATCATGGTCAACTCAAAGCAAACAATAGTGTCTCTCACACATTCACTTTAAAGCAAAAGGCACACTTGCCCAAGCCTCGGTTTTATATTAGTCCCCTTAACATACATTTATTTCAATATCATTGTATTGGCTCTGCGGATAATACTAATATTATTCAACAAGTGCAACATCTGAAATATCAACAATTTTAATTCTTATAAATTGGGGTAAAACAAGCCTGTCTTCATTTGTGCTCAATCTGTAAGTCATTGCAACTGTGCAAGTTCACTGAACCAACAATATTGTGATGCATTATATAATTGATAACTGCTGCGGTATTTGTAGAAAGCACACCAAGTTTTAAAGGTCAAATACATATTTAAATAAAGTACTCAGCATTTTAAATATATTTATTATTTTACTCCTGCCACATTTGTTGCAGTGGGGGGGGGGGGGGAGGTCATTTTGCTGCTGTGCAATCCCAGTTGAATAAATTGTAGATCATTTTTTAGCATTGGGATGTTTGGTCAATACCAGTTACATTAAAAACTTTATATCGTTATATTTATTGAGGCAATGTGCAGGCCCAATGCATCACGGTGTGACGCATGTACACACACCGTCAACATAAGCCCAACCGGTTATGAAAAGCAGGGGATAGAAATATGGAGAACAAGCTCCCTGCAAACGAGATCAATACCAGTTACATTTCATCTTCAGATTTATTCTTATTTTGGGGATGATACCAGTGAACCCAGAGGAAACCCATGCAGAGTTGGGGAAGAACATCCAAACTCTACACAGCACTTAACCCAAGTCCTTCTTTCCATGAGGCACGAGCGTTACCACTGAGCCACTGCCCGATGATGAATGCAATCGTGAATTTCTCAACCGGAGACGACAACTGCGTTGATTAAATCATGCGCGTTGTATGATTGCAACCTTGAGCAGGCTTTAGCACTGGGCTATGTAGAAACAGACGGCTCGGGGTTATCACATTTCAGTGCAAACACTCAGAATCAAAACCAAACGGCTACAGCTGCATCACCTCCGAACATCTATCGTCTCTGCAAGAGCGACGGTGACGTCGCAATTGTCGTCATTTCAATTTGCAACGTGCACAGGAGTCACTAGCTCTGGATGAGAGAGAGATAGAGAAACCGGCACAGAGGTGCGAGGCACCACAGACAATACGGAAAGGCAGCCAAGCAGGGAACTCACACAAAATTATCTCCCAAACTCTGTGGTCCTCTACATACAAAGATGGGGAACACGCTGTGGTCCTCTACATACAAAGGTGTTATCGGCCAATTAATGTTTTTACGTGTGGGAGAAAACCTACGCGTTCAAGGGGGCTAAACTATCCCATACAGATGGAACAGATGGAGCTTCCACGCGTGTTGCACCGCATTCTTCTGACGGGAGTTTCAGAACATTGGTGCCATCCGCCAACCATGGCTGCCGGTATCACCCGCCCGGCTAAGTAGGACAAAGTTATTTTTGCACAGATCAGCAGATGCACACATTCTGGATGAACACGCGCACACACACAATAATTATGCAAAGCATTTTAATAGTGCTGAAAAAGTGTTTACAGCTGGAGTGCATTTTTCCAAGGAAGACGTGTTTGGAGCTCATTAAGGAAAACATAAGAATTTCCACAATTGATTTATGCCAGGTTTTAAAAACAGGAACTGAAGTTTAAAATCACATGGACAGATGTGTAATGTGACTTCAGTTTTACGTAATGCGTAGACATAGCATGTTTCGTGACACATTTTTAATCAAAACCGGTTAAACTCGTATTTTTCGTAACTGTCGTGGCTTTTAATTAAATCCAATGGATTATTTAAATGTGATGCACTCCGCGTTAATATGAACATTAAACAATTGTTTAATGGGAAGACGTGGTGGCGAAATGTTAACTACTTCGCTTGATATACAGGAGGTCGTGAGTTCGACCCTGACCCTGACATGGATTTTCTCCGGGTCCTCCAGGTTTACCCTCCACATTTAGAAACTCGCATTTTGGAGAATTTTTCTGCTATAAATTTCCACGCGATGAGCCCCTTTGTTGGATTATCATTTGTGGCCAGGTCGCTTCTGGAAAAGAGCCATACAGCTCAGTGGGTCTTCCATGGTAAAATACAAAGGGTTTTTTGGTTGTACATCTGCCCCAGGTATCGGTGAAATGAATCACACGATCCAGCAGAACGATGGCACGAGCAGTTAACTACCCACGTGACCTTTGCACTCTTGAAGGTCGTCACGCCACGAGAAACGGCCATGGAAGACTCTCGCCGTGTAACAACAGCCCCTCGCAGGGCGTGCAACGCGTCAAATTCTCTTTGCAAGGCACTTAATTATGAATACACTGAGGATATTCAAGCCAATGTTGACTGAGGCGTAAGTAAGAGAGATGTTTCGGCTGAAGATTGCCAGGACAGATTTCAGAAGCTAGGCGACTAAAGGCAAGGAGGCATTTGTGTAAAAGGAGACAATTTTCAAGGACACGCACATCATTAACTCATAGCTGAGCTACAACAGACGTGATACATACTATTTTACATTTAAATAGTGCCTTAGCTCAAGGCGCTTTACAGAGTTTAAAAGCAGGAAGAAATTTGAGTGAATTAGATGGCCGGGGGCAGTGCAAGAGCCAAGGAATGAGTGACCGCAACAGAGGGCACGTGGGGGTCACAAAAGGGCTATAGGGGAGGGACGGGACGGAGTAGAGGGGCGAGGGGAGGGAAGAGAATGGGCAACGGAGAAGAAGTGAAGCTGTCAATGGACATAATTCCACACACGTTTTGACGGGAGCCACGTAAGGGCCGCTCGTGCGTTTAAAGAAAGCAGCGAAGGACACCGACCTGCCTGCTGCACCTTGTACTCGGTGGTGTACGCCCGTCCCAGCATGCTCCACACGGGCCTCAGGCACCCGAAGAGGCCCTCCAGGAAGCCCCCCGAGGTGCGGTTCCGCTGCATGTGCATCCCGACCGCGAACTCCCTCTCCATGGCCTCCGGGAGTGGCAGCGGTGCCGCCCGGGCCCCGTCCGGACTGCCGCCGGCCGTGCGATTTGAGGCCGAACGCGGCGCGGAGTCTGCCGCGGCCGCCGCCGCCGCCGCCACCGCACCCACGTCGTAGTGACACTCCTCTTTTAGCTCTTCCGGCTCCTCCTCTTCATCCTCCTCCTCCTCCTCTTCGTCCTCCTCGTTGAGGTGCAGGCGGCTGTTGGCGAACTGCATGCGTGCGTCTTCGCCGAAGCTGGCGAGGGCTGTGACGGAGGCGTCCGCGGTGGCGGCCGGGTCGTCGTCGTCGCCGCCACCGTCCGTCGCCCAGGAGGGCTCGAGGACCTCGGGCGACGACGAGGAGGGCTCCCGCCGCTGCTCCAAGCCGGACGAGTCCCCGCTCGCGCTGCTCGGCGGGCGGCACCGCGGGCGCGACGCCGACGACGAGGACGGCGACTTCTCGGCCCGAGCGCCCGGGCCCCGCGGACTCCCCACTGCAGCTGCTGCGTGGGCGGCCCGCATTGCCGCCGCCGCCTCGCCTCTCGGGCCCAGACGACTCCCCGCTGGCGCTGCTGCGCGCGGGCCGGGCCGACGCGGCCCCCGCTCCGGCGCGCTCCTCCTCCGGCGTGGGCTCCGCCCGCCGGCGCCCCCCCGTGCCCGGCTCCGGCGACTCCCCGCTAGCGCTACCGCGCCGGGGCCGCGTGCCGGCCTCCAGGCTGGCCGAGCGGGCCTTGCGGTGGAGCCTGCTGTCGGCGGACTCGGGGCCGGCGCTGCTCTTGGGCCGCTCCTTACGTGGCCCGCCTCCCCCTCCTCCTCCTCCTCCTCCTGCGCCCCCTCCTCTCGCGCGGGGCCTGGCCTCGGAGCCTGGGCCTGCCGGGATGAAGGAGCCCGTGCGGTTCTGTACATCCCAAGCGCTCGCCATCAAATCCCTCCTCTCAGAGCTTCACCAGCATGTATTCCTGAATAAGACAAACCAAAACGCAAAGTGGCGGTGAGTTTTGGAATGTGACAAACACTGTTGGTGCCCGCCATGGTAGTCATGATTGGCCCAGTGGTGGAAATTCCACATTCCCCACAAAGTAACACGGCATTTTTTCCATTGCCTCCAGAGATATTATAGGCTGAGCGAACACGCCCCAATCTGTAAAATACTGTATATGTTAATTTGATTGTGTTTATAATCAAGAATTCTCAACTCAATTAGCCTGAAAAATATAACTGTCCTCACATGAATGAGATTGCATGGGGAATTGCAACTCCATGGGTTACTGGCCTAGATAAACAAAATAGATCTGCACTACTAATACAAATTAACACTTTGTGGTAATTGTGTATATTTAAGGAGTCAACGTGTGCTTGGAATGTAAATTAAAATAAGCAACAAGCCCTTTATTTGTCGTCGAGGATATTTCTCTTTGCACTCCATTAAATTGTACGAAGCATACGAGGTACAGTACAGACCTCTGTGGGGTGAATATCGACCGAGATCAATGCACATCGTTTACAGTGATGTAAACAAGATGCACTCGGTTCAGAATACATTTTATCCAACACCTCAGGGAGGTTTGCTCGGCTGGTGGATTTTAGCCAGAACATTGGGGGTCAAAGCCTCTGATAATATTGCAGAGTGCCATGGGATTTAATGACCATGGGACTGGGATGGCACACGTTCTACAGCAAGATAAGCCTTGATCCACATTTGTTTTTGGATTAGACCACATAGTACTGTACCTAGTGGTCTAATAACCAAATAAGGATCATTGTATTGGCTACGAAAAGCGACGTTACAACTATGAACTATTTTTTATTTCACCAGGCAAGGTCCACTGAGCTATATAGCTATTTTTCAGAAGCCACCTGGCCCAAATAAGCGCTCAACGAAGTTGCTCATGACGTGGAAATGTATAGCAGCCAAATTCTGTAAAACGCACGTTTATAAATTAACATGAGACTCACAGCTGTACAGGGAGAGCTGATGACCTATACAGAACCTCAAAGCAATGTCACCCAAAGTGAGGATGCAATATTACTCCGCCAGAGCAACCTATATATCCTGTGGTCACCCATCCAAGCACTCACCACGTACCACCTCTTCTTGATTTGAAGGGTTAAAGCTACAGGATGGTGAGCCTGTAATTGACACTGGAGCTGCTGTATTTAATTTATGTTGCCCATGTCACATTGGAAGCTGATGCTGCTTAAGGTCATGGTAGATCAATTTAAGAATGCACTCCGGATAGCCGTATGGAATTTGCCGTGCATGGATATATTTCTTTGAGCATACAATGTTTATAATTACATTTTCTTGAATGCTAACATGAATGTTAATGTCGTAGCACACTTTACATCATTAGCATAATGACAACGTGCGCACGGTTTGGCGTTTGTGCAGACCACAAAGCACTCAGCGGCGCATGCACCAAAGTTAAAACGTAAATAGTGCACTTTCGAATTCTTGGACAATTTTAGTTCATGAACATAAAAATAAAATTTACGGAATTATTATTTTTTTTTGCAGACCACACAGCACTCGACGGTGCATACACCAAAGCAAAACACTGCGATGCACTATATTTCTTTTGTCCAGGAGCAATTCAGAAATGAACAACGAATGGGTCAGCAAAAGCAATTCCACTCTCCTTGCGGGTCATCTTTGAAACATGTTGACACCCGTGCAATGTCGTCACACACACGGTACGCAAACATGACAGACTCCTCCTGACTCAAATATTATAAAACCAACAACTCTCCTTGAAGAACGTGTGCTTTAAAAAAAATGCATTTGTTGTATTCCTGGTGGGCGTAATAAGCACTGGCATACATTTACCGCAGCGTGATTTAAAATCACACTGCGAACAAATACGAGTGCTTACCACGAATGTCCCAGACGTTGGGCAAAGCACCTGGCCAGTGTTTGCATTAGGTGTGGCGTGCAATTACAGGCCAACGAACGCCGGATTAGATGCGGCTCATTCGTTTCTAATAGGTTATTGCTCATAGCAACAATTTCGCTGATGGGCAAAGAAAAAGTCATGGGTACCAATTCATTTTGATTGCAGAACATGAGCAGGATCAGCAGATGCCCTCTCATCATTGCTGACCACTCGACCAACAAGGTGCGAACACGTGGCAGCTGTGCCAGGGCTTAAGGGTGGGTTGGTTGCAAGCCGGGAAGGAGCCAGGGCCATTATTTTGGATGAACAAGGGCCATGCTACAGTGCAGCGGGATGACTAAAAATATACTTCTCAAGTCGCAAACGTCACGAGCCCTATGGCCACACTTGAGCGCGCTGTGCAAGTACAACATCGCCATCAATGGTGGGAAGCTGCCTCACTTTTGAGGATCACTCTGGCTCGTCAACGCGATTAATCAAACTCTCCGTTGTGTTTCAGCACCGCTGCCGCTCATGCAAAGGGAATCCGCACTTTGAGCTGCTGCAGCCACAGGGTGTGAAGACATCTCGTTGCGGTGTTACTGAAAGGAAAGCTATCGTGCACTAAGCCCAGAAGGACTTGCTCGAGATGCCAGTTTCAATGAAGGTCATTTACAAGGCCATTATTTTCGTCCATGTATGAAGGTTTCTGATGGGACATCTCGAGGTTAAAAGCTGTCCGATGCATGGCAATTGAGAATCAACAACGTGTTCATGCTCTTAGGTTTTTTTCGGTAAAGTCACGTAGGTAAAAATAAATAATAAATACTGAAATAAAAATAATAGAAATAATAATAGAAATAAAATAATAAATCACGACGTTTCGGAGGCAACACGAGTCTCCGTCATCAGGTGGGACCGTCACAGCTGGATTTGCTGTATCAAGTGAGGCAAAATTCCAAGACACAAGTTCTTAAATACAAGTTAAGGGGGAGGAGGGGGGAGGGGCTTATCTGAATGTGGTAGCCAATGAATGGAACGTGTTGCGGGGGGTGGGCGGGGCTGAAAGAGAACAATAGGTGTACAAGTTGTCGTTATACTATAACGACAACTTGTACACCTATTGTTCTCTTTCGGTTATACCCCGTGTTCATGCCTTACTCTGCTGACGGCACTCGCAAATTTGGATGCCTGTCAAGATTTTGCCCGTCTAAACTAATGATGCTGGGGGAAAAAATAAAAGAATGTTGGTCCATAAGGTGCATATGCTGATGGACTAAATTGTGATATAATTAGTATGTCTATTGATTCATTTACTTACCGTGATCCTTCTCGACAGCCAATAATGAATGAGAAATTAAACCTCATTGGTTAAACGTGTAACGATATGCACCAATAAATAAATGCATGCACTTTTTAAACATACATCTTAGCAAATAAGCACAAAAGACTGTAATTAATCACGTGTGCAGTCAGTGTGATCTAATCTATGTTACAGGAGCAGTTCTTCGAATATCTGTTGGACATAATTGCGTTTGTTTACACGTAACTAAAATTCACTTTGAGTTTCAAGTACTGCATCTCTCCATAGTCTCCTGTCATTACTATCTGCCTTTAGAATGCATGTCATTTAATAATTCATTACACAGGCCGAAATGTTTTTTTCTACACTTAATGGTGAGTGTATTTTAGAACAGCGATGCTTAATAAGGCACATTACGGAAATGTCAGGCCCCTTTGATGTGGCGGTATGAGTAGTACAACATCATTAGGCACTTGTGCTAACCTGACTGCAAGCCTGGGCTGAAAATGCATGCAACAAGCATAATGCATAATTGATGACTTTATAATCATCTAATATTGTGCAAGCAGGTTAAAAAAATGGGCTCCAGTGAAATGCTCGCCTGTACTTGCGAAAAGAGAAAGAAAAACAAATTAGCAGGGGTGGGTGTCCCGCCTCGTTGCCAAAATAAACATTGAGGCCCGGCAATGGATGGGTCCCCCTCCCTCTCTGACCACGGCTTTCGGAAAGTAATATTTCTTTAAACACGGTCAACATGGTAAACTGAACCAATTGTGGCTTCACTGGGTGTGGGCCGACAGAGAATGCCACTGGGCTGGCTGGTGTTCTACGCAAGAGCCATCCCTGAGCACAGTGAGGCAAAAAACAAATATCATAATTCAGCAGAGTACAGCAAGCGTGACAGGTTTAAATTGTTACGTGTATGTATCATATTTTTCTTTGTTGATGTGACAAATGTAGAATACTGTAATGCAATTTACATTCATATCGCTTGACTAAAGATTGTGTATGATGATTGTTTTGCTTCTACACAAATATTTATTTAGTGGAAAGTTGTGATATCTTCAGTTCCTTTATTTAGATTTATTTTCATTCTAAATTATACGTATTTGTAATTTGTACAATTTAAATGTTCTTTTTCGAGAAATTACATGTGGTACCTTATATGCCATTCTCAACCTCAAACCCAACCGGGCATCAGCTGGAGATTGAAGAGAAGGAATTATCGCAATTGAGTGATAGATACCTTTGGGATTGGAAACAAAGTTGTTCGTGAGAGACAATTCTTACACAACTCTAGAGATTCTTCTTTTGAGCCAAAGTGAAAAGCAAAGTATTGGTGCAAGAAAATGTCTTGACTTACATAAGTCTCTACTCGACTGTGGGGGGGGGGGGGGTGCAGCATCAGTGACTATGAAACTAAACTATTTTATTTTATCAGGTAGGGCCCACGAGGCTATATAGCTCTTTTTAAGAAGCAACCTGCACACAAATAATAGCGCAGCAACGTGGCTTATCATGTTCAAATTTATAGAAGGCAAATATTTTAAACGCATGTTTATAAAAGTGGAGGGAAAAAGCGGAGGGCCTGGTGAAAAATCCACGCATCCACGGGTAGAACATGAAAACTTAAAATATACAGGCATCAGGGTCAGGATCGAATCCATGACCTCCTGTATATCAGGCAAGGTAGTTAACATTTCACCACTGCGGCACCCACGAGTCTAGGGGACCTGGTGGGACAGTCCAACTCCAACTACCCCTACGTGCTACCCAGTAAACA